CGAGGATGTATATAGATAATTGGGACCGAGGATTGTTAAAAGATACATTCGATAAGCGGTATGATAATTTTGTTAGATTAAGTGGTAGTGAAAAGCATGAGCTTCGAGAATGCCGGTGAACCCAGGAAAATTAAGCCATCCTTTTCAATTCAAGAGGTTTTGAAGGGAAGTATTATAAGATCGAATAGAGTACCGCTACTCAGAAATGAACCTGAGCCATATATCGGGCTAGCTATTTCATTATATAATAAACAAACCTTCACATAATGTTCTAGGTGAGAGAACGACCAAGTTAGCAACTAGTATGATGTGGACTTCACTTTAGTGAGTCTAGCTATGTTAAGGTATACCCTGGTTACCTCAGTTGCTCTAGTGGGGCATTACCAATGCGCGATGTACTTCAGGGGCTAACTAGGGTGCAAGACCTGAATACTCGCGAGGAGTGGGTTAATAATGTTAGTATTATGTGGCCTATAAGCCTTAGATCTGTATGGTTAGTTATGTCAGTATAATTGGGTAAGCTTCCGATATACGTAAATTATGGTTCTTACCTCTAGGCTTTTTCGTATTCAAGGTAGGCTAGGGTGTTGCTTCGAGATATACGTAAATTCTTCTGACCACACCACCAGACCTATCCCTTGTCCATTTGTGCCAATCATGTATGTATAGTCCCATCAGTTTAGTATGTTAGATATGTTAAAGCTTTGCTTGAAGGCCATGTGAGACTGAGCCAATGTTTCAGTTTGTGTAGGAATTGTACCGATGCTATGTGACACCGGGTTCCCCTCAGTGATCTACCTGATGGCTATGTGAGGACCAGGAGACCATTCAGTATGTTTGTGGAAATTACGTCGATGCTATGTGGCACCAGGGTTCCCTAAATAACTAGTGTCTGAGAGCTATATGAGACCAGATACTAGTTAGATTTGTATTCAAATAATGCATAATATGTCATGTTTGCAATCATATAATGCACCATATGTCAGGTTTGCATTTAGATAATGCACAGGAGGACCAATGTCGCATTTAGATAATCGTAGCATGTTTAGTCGTTAGGGTTAGATACCCTTTAGAGGTGTACTCATGGCAAGGCCCTTAGTAGAGGATTAAGGGAAGCGTGAGACCCTTGCTTCAGTGATAGAGTAGTAAAGCCTTAAGTATGTAGCACTTGATCTAGGTCATGCATACACTACTTCTTAGTACCATGTCTTTAGCATGCTTGTGTTTATGAAATTCTTATGATGTTCTAGATTAGCGATTATACTGCTGGACTTTGTAAGTTCAATCTTCGTATGTTTTTCATTGGAAGGTTTCTAGTCTGGGCCGTTCGTGGAGCACCATCGTACCATGACTTCCAGCATCTCCGATAAAGTATTGTATTATAGTTACAGTGGGCATGTGTATTCATAGAACCTTACTTATGTATTTGAGTTATAAACTTCAAGATGTATTATTTATTCTAAATTATGTGTCAATGAGCTCCGATTTTTGTAAAATGTTTTATATTTTTTATTTATGTTTTAATTATGATACCATTCAATACATTTGAAAAGAAAATGAACAGATTTTAAAACTCAGGGGTTACCTCGGTAGCCCAGTGTGGCACTTTAGGCCCAATCAGGCTAAGGGTGCTATATATGGCATTGATATTACTAGCACGTGCTTTCTTACCCATTGAACGTTTGTTATTGTCTCAACTTTCCATTTGATCAACAGACTGCCTACTAGGGTTTTGCATTGGCTTACATCGTTTGAGAAGTTGTTTGGGGTGAAGCCTAAGTTGAGTCATCTGAGGGTGTTTGGATTCCACTGTTTTCTCTATCTTCATCCATTTAATTTGAAGAATCTAGAGTTTCTTTCACAGTCGTGTATCTTTCTAAGGTATATCATGCAATATCGGGGCTATAATTACTTGATGCTAAATGAAAGATTATTTGTTTCGCGTCATGTAGTGTTTGAAGAGTAGGTTTTCTGTTTGAATGGTGCTATCAGATTCTCCAAGTAACTCTGAAAAGTCTACTGCCTCTCCTTCTTCTTTGTTAATAGTCCTTAGAGTTGTACCTCTTTGTAGAGCTCGGGCTTCGGCTGAGGTTACTCCCTCTAAGGAGTAGCTTGGTCATGTGGCATCCCCACACAATTCTCATCATGAGGAGCATGAGAAAGGGACTGTTGATGCTTCCCAGTGTGTTATTCTCGGGTTAAAAGAGCAGTCCTGCATGAAAGTTCCACAAAGACAGCAAGAATTGGTTCATGGGTTGAGTTCAAGTGTTACACCTCCCAATGGACATCATATGACAAGAAGAAGCAATGAGGCGTGTTAAAGCCTAAGGTGTTTACTGTCTCTACTGATAATGGCATCAAGGTCTCAGTTTCAAGTTCTATTGCTCAAGCTCTCAATCAGCTTGTGTGGACGGAAGTTGTTCATGCTGCACATCGTGCCCTTATTTAAAATAATACGAAGTGGCATATCATAAAACATGACTAGTGGCCAAGGGCTTCTCACAGGTTTCAGGTCCTGATTTCAATGAAACATTCAGTCTTGTGTTGAAGGCGTCGACTGTCAATGTCATGCTATCCCTGGTAGTCTCAAATGGATGGAAGCTTTATCAAATTGATGTTAATAATGTGTTCCTTAACGAAGACCTTCATGAGATTCGGCCCTCGTATTTGAGCAGTATGATATTGATGGTTCACTATTTGTGTGTTGTCTTAACAGAGCTCTGTATGGCCTTCTCCAAGCGCCTCGCATGTGGTATTCAAAACTGCGACAATTTCTTTTGGATGTTGGATGATGCATTGTTGTTCATTAAGAGTGCTAACAGTGTTCAGACCTATACTTTGGTCTACACCGATGATATTATCGTGACCAGGCAATTTGTACGTGAAGTTGAGAGTGTCGTTCATTCGTAAAGCACCAAGTTTTCCCTCAGAGACTTGGAAGACCTTAGTTATTTCCGTGGTATTGAGGTTTGGAGGTCTGAAGATAAACTTGTCCTTAGTCAGAGTAAGTTCATCAATGATTTGCTTGATAAGGTTAACATGGCCCATGCAAACCTGTTCCTTCACCTATGGTGACTACTCCAAAGCTGACTCAAGATGCAGGTAAACCGTTGGACTCCTCTAAGCTTTAGAGGAGCGTTGTTGATGCGTTGCTTTATCTCAGCCACATGAGGCCTGATGTGGAGTACATTGTTAATAGAGTCGTTCAATAAATACATAGACCTTGTGCTCTTCATTGGGTTGCAATCAAGTGTATTTTGCAGTATTTAAAAGGCACAATTGATCGTGGATTAGTTTTTCAATCATCCCCTATGTCGTCAAAGATAGTGGCTTTTGCAGACACAGACTAGGTCAATAACACAAATGATAGACACTTTGTTTCAAGGTCTTGTGTGTTTATGGGGGAAAATCTTGTCGTGGAGCTCTCGCAAGAAGAAGACCATGTCTTGTTCGACTACAGAAGTCAAGTACCATAGCATTACTGACGTTGTGTCCGAGATTGTTTGGTTGAGATCATTGCTTACTGATATGGGATTTGCTCACATTGAACCTGTTGTGGTCTGGAGTGATAACACCAGCGTCGTTGCCATGAGTGTTAACCCTGTCTTCCATACAAGGTCTAAATATGTGGAGCTCGATGTGCACTTTATTCGATAGAAAGTGGCCAACAACACTGCAGGTTAATTACGTTCCAGTCGAGTTTCAAATAGCTGATGGGTTCATAAAGTCGTTAGCTCGGTCGAAGGAGCAGGAAACATGTTGGATTATGATATAACTCAACGGTAGCTGGAGGCCGAGGTCAGCAGTTGTTAGGGTGCTAAACTAATATTTGTTAGTTTCTTAGCAGATATACTTGTGGGTAGTTAGTTTGTTACATGCTTAACACACGTATAAATTGTCTCAGTACATTCAATAAAGATGAAGACCTTTTGCATATTCTCTAGTTTTCTTCATTTTACTTCCTTCTTTTCTAAACCTAGTTCTTAGTTAGCTGACTATTGCTAACCATCACTATCGAGAAGCTAGCCATTTATCGTCTCCCCCCAATTGACTATTGTCTTAATTCCTTAAATTCTTAAATTTAAATTCCTAAATTTCTCAATACTTAAATCTCTAATCCTAAACTCTAATCATCATAAGCCACCCCTTTCCCGATCAAAAACTATTCAGAAATTTGTTTGCAATAATCGTGAATTCAATTGCCAATAAAATTGTTTGTTTGCAATTGTCGTAAAACCAATTTTCCTCCGACATTTAATCAATTGTCGTAAAATCAATCCTCTCGTAAATTTGTTTGCAATTGCTCGTAAGCTGTCGATAATCCCCCATTGGTACTTATTCACAAACATCTACATCAAATTCATCGTCCATATAAATGAAATACAACATTTAAGTTAAGAATTTGGATATGGGAATTTAAAATTTAAGAAATCTAATTTCAAGATTTAGATATTTAGAAGATTCCGACTTGATAATAGAAGTTCAAAATTAAAGACTTCATAGTTTGGATTCTTTATAAATATTTTAAATATTTGAGAGTTTTAAAAAATAATATTTTTAAAATTTTTAAAAATATATATATAAACAACACATATCACATTATTAGCAATAAACAATTCTTTTAACAGTAGTAAATAAATGATATAATTTGAACACTATTTTTAAGCACAAACTTCAGAGACCTAAAATAAATTAATGATATAATTTGAACACTATTTTTAATTAAACATTTTAGGCTACCGAAAGGAAAGATTTCCCAACGTAGTTTGTGAAGTTAAAAAGAACTTCTAAATAATAATAAATTTTTACCCGTTTAACATTTATATATATATATATATATATATATATATATATATATATATATATATTGAAAAACAATGCATATTATTGCATCACATTTAACACTGCATAATCTTTATTGCATCACATTTAACATTACATAATCTTTTTTCTCACAATACCAATGATTGCATCTCATATTGCCACACAGAAGGAAATTAGAGCAAGGTATCAGTTCTTATTAATAACCATGAAGTGCTTATTTAATAACCATAAAGTGCTTATTTAAAAACCATCCCATGTTAACATTCACTATTATAGAGACTGAAACCCGAGATAGCCATGGATACCAATACCAAGACCAAGAAAACGGGCCTTTTAGCGCACAAAGCAAATCTAAAGTGCTTTAAGGATGTCATCAGCACTTGACACGGTAAATTCCCCACCCGATTCAATATTTGCGGCCTTCACCTTGAGGTCCTCGACCAGGAGCGCAAACCTCCTAGAACGAGTGCCAAGCCCTTTCTCACTGAGGTCAAGCTCAAGACCAAGGGCATGGGTGTATGTTGCTGAACCATCAGCCAGAAACTTGACATCTTTGTTCTCAGGGTAGGTATTGGCCCATGCCTTCATCACAAAGGGGTCATTCACTGCAAATTCAATTCACTTCAAGTCAGATTAACAGGATTTCAGAATTGCTGCAAAGCCAGAAGCTTATAAGTTTCCATACCTTTACAAACACGACAATATCGGATTTCTGACCATAATCTACTGAAATAGAGTAATCAACCATCGGGTTTAAATGATTTTCCATTAACATCATCATTTGAACCAATATCAAACATCCATCGATTAGAGTACCCAGTTTATTTGTTCAGGGATCGACAAGATACTTTCACAAAAATTCCACTATCAAATGTTGACAGCCAATCAAGAAACAGAGAAAATTAAAATCATTTGAACTGGAAATACAAAAGAAAATCAAAACAACAACTTTTCAATGTTATCATTCATTTAATAGTGCAAAACAGATGCAAACCAGTTTTAAAACTAAATCTGTTAGTTTTTTTTGGTAAAAGTAATTACAATCAAAAGTATGTGATAAGAAAAATAGATTCATCGGTTTGTTAATGGAAAATTTGCACATTTCTTCACTTTTAATTATTTCACATACAAAGTCATATTTACATTCTACTTTAAGAATATTTCATATCATCTTCAATAAATGCTAAAATTCAGACTAATTCAATGCCAATTGGAAATTGTTTTTTTACAAGTAAAATAGAATAAAAATATTAAAAAATATTATGAATAGAAAAAAAAATTACCGCTGATGCAAATAATTTCATCAACGCCCTTTGATTTAAGCTCCCCTGCTCTCTCGATGAACCCAGGCACATGCTTCAAGCTGCGTCACACACCAAATAAGAAACCTCAAAGAAAACTATTCATTAAGACAGAAACAGACACCGTTGATCGGAAACGGACGGTTAAAAACATCAGACAGAAGGATAGAATCGTTACCTGCAAGTAGGGGTAAAAGCGCCGGGAACACCAAAAATGATGACCTTTTTACCGGCGGAGAGGGAGTGTACAGACACCTGCTGGGGCTTATCCTCGGCGTCGAAGCAGGAGAGATTACCGTCCGGAAGAGTATCGCCAACAGCAATCGGAGCCATGTGTATATGCTTAGTGGGATTGTTGATCTGGCTTTTAATGATATTTGATTGTTTGTAGCGCAGAAGGGGAGGAGGGTTTTTATTTATAGGGCTTCAACTTTGGATGTAACGCTTTTTGGAAGGGTGTGAGGTGCGGTTCACACCGCCTGACTATTTGAAATAGATAAATAAACGTTTATTAGCTGAATTGGAATCACATTTGAGATCCGCAAAACTTTTACTGAGGTAACATCGAACACTCAAACACTTGATTTTTTTAGTTTTCTAATCTCGGCACTTAAAGAATAATAATATTTTTTTATTATTAAAATTTCTTAATTTGTATTTTGAGATTCGTAAAACTAAACAAAATAAATGATTGATAAAATCTAAGTCTCGTCTATTATATTATGTTTTAGTATAAAAATAAGTATTTAAAATATATTTTAAATTAATTTTTAGTGTTTAATTTTTTTTATTAAAAATAGATATTAAATATTTTTCCGTTACATTTTTAAATATACATAATTAAAAAAAACATTAAATAATATGTGTTATGTTTAGATTTTTTTAAGTAACATTTTTTTTAAAAAAAATTAGAAAATATAAACGTGACACGTGCTACTTAATGATTTTTTAATAGTAAAGACCTAAAAATATAATAAATAAAATGTCAAACATTTGTTGTTAATAATTTTTTTTTAAATACTAAAAACAATAATTTTGTGTATAATTTATGGATTCATTTATACATTAAGTTTTATCTTGTTTATATTTTGATTGTTCATATTATTTTATGGTAAATTCACATTTAAAAAAATATATTTTATTTTAATTACTGATTGCTATGCTGATGACCTTCTTTACGTCAGCAACCCACATGACACATTTTAATAAAAATGCTTTAACTATTAAAAGTATATTGGATAGTTGTAAAATATAAAATATTTTTCTTGGGTTTGATAGCAGTAAAACATTATTCAATGTCTTTGTAATCGGCTTTTTTAATGTAATTCATTTATTTAATTTATTTTTATTTTTTAAATTATTTTTATAAATTATTTTTTTTAATTTTTCACTTCAAAGAATAAACACATAAAATAATATTATTTTATTTATTTAAAATTAATATAATATTTTAAAATCATTTCAAATAAAAATATTAAGTATCAAAATATTTAAAACATATAATAGTACGAACTCAATGGTAAAAAAATTGTTGTTATTCATTGAGGTCTCGAGTTCGAGCACCAGAAATACTAGGGGTGTGAGCGTTCTAATATGTCAAATGATTTAGAGTTATCTTTAAACAGATACTACATTATAATTACGACAAATTAATCAATATATATATATATATATACACATATAATATTTTAACAATATTATATTTTTGAATATTATATTATTATATACTCAATTATATTATAATAATATATCATAAATTATTCATATAATTAATATTATTTACTATTTTCATAAAAATACTATTATTAAATTATAAGTAATTAGTAATATTATTTTATAAATTTAATACTAATATAATAGTTTATTATTATTTTAATAAAATATTAACTATTAAAATATTTAAAATATATTTATTAATTTTTTGAAAATATAATAATATATAATAAGTTATTTTAATATTATAATAATATATCCAGTTACATAATAAATCATGAATATAAATATATAATCCTTTAAGCACAATTATTACACTTGACAAATGACAACGCACGTATACAGCATGAATACTTGCTGCTCGATTTTAAGATGACCAGGCAATTAGTTCTGATTCATTTTATGGAATATTTCTTCGTCTAAATATAGGACAATAATGTTTAACAGGGTACATGGTCACACAACATATCGGTAAGTGATATAACGACCGGCGGTCTCACTGGGTCTTATTATCTTCACCACCTGCCCACGCTTCAGCCCGTAGTACCTTGCAGTCGGATCACTCTCCTGAATACGTGGCAGCTGCATTCAATCCATTTCAAAAGCATAATGCGATCAGAAACGTCTGTTACTTGAACTCGAGAGTGTTGAGTATTGATTCCGGTATGGGTACAACAGGAGTGTGTTCAATTACTTTTTTAAGTTTTCTAATGTATTAGGAAGGTCCTTGGGGTTCATATCCCCTACCCCTACTTGTGTCAGACGTTTCGATACATGTCAAGAAAAATGAAGAATTGAAGCAACATAATTAGAAACTGATGGGGTTTGTTAAAGGAAAAAAGGAATGCACACAGAAGATGACACTACAGGTCTGCAGTTTTAAATCACGGTTCGAAAATGTGATAGCGCCCGTAGAATAGTAGTTTCGCCGCCGTCTGAGTTACCCGTTACACCCGCAATAGCGCCCACAATGATCACAATTATAGTAAACCCGAAATGACAGAAAATTCGACCGCGACCGTTATTGCGATTTGAAACCCTGGTCTGCATACGAGAAAAATGTCCTTTTCTCAAAATGACGGGATTTCTATTTTACTTCATACATTACGCAAAGCGCATTGCAACAAAACATGTTGAGCCACCTTCGTATGTACTAGTCTAATGTTTATCCAATGCTTTCATTAATCAATTAAATACTATTCTTTTTTTCGCTTAAATACAAGAATGAGACAATGAATGGGGCAGAATGCTTTCAAAGCTAGACTTTCTCCTAATGACGTGCACTTATGTTTTCAGAAAGAGCCCCCAATTGTACTGGATATAATGACTGAATTCCACACTGCCCACTTACTGTCACTTATTAAGTTATTAGGAATGAACAAGGAAGGTTTTTAAACCCACGGAGACAAAGAATGGACATTTTTAGGGACTAGCCCGATTCCCATTATTCAAGAGGGAAATTCCTTGCACATAATTAAGAGAACCATTGGAAGGTGACCCAAACACCGGTAGATCTTGCAAATTTGACCCAAATGATTTACCAAACCCGATATCTGATATAGATCCGAACATGATGGCTAAACTTGATCTAAAATCAGAATCATACCCGATCCGAACCATAACCGATCCAAATTTCAGTTGAACCAATATGGACCCATATTCAATTTGACCCAAATCGAAATTAACACGAACCAAAAGCAAACTAAACAAAAAATAACCCGAACCGGAAGCAACCCAAACCAAAAGCGATCCAAATTTAATTTAGCCAAACCAATTTGAATCAAACATCGAACCGATTTTTAACTCGATAAATGAGTAAAAGTGACTGAATAATTTATTGTTATTATATACTTGTTGACAATATAATGAATTGTAAAATGATGCATGATTTATTCTCTTTTTTGCATTATATTACTAGTTAATCATCAGCTTTGATAATAGATTAATAACTACCAATACCACGTTTGATAATAACTTAATAGTTTATTATTATTTTCTCTTGTTTAAAAAAACATCTCCATATTTGATTCAATAATTTCTAAAAACAATTAAAAATTATTTGATATAAAGTATTATAAAGTCAAGTTATTACCCAAAATTTTATTTTATATGATCAAATTTAATTATCATCACTTAGATAGTATATTATAATTAACTTTAAAAGAAAAGAAATTTCACTTTTTTACAAACACAAATTAGCATGAAACACAAATCTCAAATGAAGAGAATTCACTTTAATTCAAACAATCGAAGTTATTTTAAATATATTAATATAAACAAAGTTAAAAATTTATAAAAATTTTAAATTTATAATAAAAATATTAAAAATCTACTCGGGCATTATTTTTAAAATTTAATAAAATATTAATTTATAATTAAACATTAAACATATGATTGAAAATTTTGATCGAGAATGAAATTTATAATAGAAAATTTTATTTTTTTCCCAAAAAGTTTTCACTATAAACTTTACGGTTCATATTAATATAAAATTCAAGTTACAAACTCTAGCACGCATTATAGGATCGAGTTTGGGTTAAATTATAATCTCTCTATGATGATTTCATTCAAAATATTAAAGGATTGAAAGTTAAAATTGAGCCTAAATTATAAGATTGACAAACAAATAGACAATTTTTTACAAGAATATATCAATAATTTTATATATACTTAATTAGACTCATATGAATTGCCTATCCAGCTCAGTTGGTAGAGCGCAAGTTTCTTAATCTTGAGGTTGTGGGATCGAGTCCCACGGTGGGCAATTCATAATTGCTGGAGGTCTTCCACGAAAGTTGCTCTCAACTTAGTGTTTGGGGCAGCCTACTACCATACCTCCCCCTTACCCCATTCCATATGAGAATAAGGTCAGCTAATTTTTAATTAAACTCATATTCAATTCACAACCCGAATTGACCTGAACAAAAAATGAATCGATCCAACATTGACTCAAACTGAAAATCAACAGATCCGATATTGACCAGATCCAATACTTGAACGGCCTAATTTACTATACACTTGAACTTAATCCGAACCATACCCAATCCGACCCAATTCGACCCAAACAAAATTAAACCAAATATAATCTAGATATGAAATAACCCGACCCAAACCTGAATCGAATAACCCATTTGCCACCTCTAAACACTAGAAACCGAGAGACTACTTAAGCTAATGAGGCAAGAAAACACTCTAGCCTAAATGTACCATTGCATCTGGGGAAACCATACCAGCAGGCAGGTCTGTGATATCAATTAAAAAAACATGCACAAATACAACGTTAGCATGAAAAGGTATGCTCAAAACACTTTTGAATTTGTCTAGGTAACTAGTTCAATTTTAAATCCTCCAGTCATTTACCACGGATAGCTTCAAAGACAATCTATCTCAGCTTTGCATCAGTTTATTCAGGCGGTTGGGCACTTGGCCCCTTACTGATAAACATGCAAACTTTTTTTTTGATAAAGAAGCAATACCTCGTTAAAAACCCCCTTCATAACTACTACTATAAAAGAAATACAGCAACAGACATTGGAAGGAGGAAAAGAGTGCCTCAATTGTTATTCCACAAATAAATTACACTTCAAAACGAAAATCGACTATTACAAACACCACCCTCGCACTCAACCACTCACCTCTCTATAACCTCAATGTACTAAATTACTACCCTATACCAGCCTTAGCCAAACTATCAG